GTGCATTTTGTGCAAGAAAATGCATTAAAATCGTCTGCCTAAGAAAAATTAAATTATTTTCGGAACTTTTTTGTAATTTTGGATTTATGGGTTGGATGACTTTTAGGTGGTAATAGGTGTCTTCCTCTACTCTTTTTTGGCTGTCAATTTTTTTCTACAATTATAGGTGCATTTTGTGCAAGAAAATGCATTAAAATCGTCTGCCTAAGAAAAATTAAATTATTTTCGGAACTTTTTTGTAATTTTGGATTTATGGGTTGGATGACTTTTAGGTGGTAATAGGTGTCTTCCTCTACTCTTTTTTGGCTGTCAATTTTTTTCTACAATTATAGGTGCATTTTGTGCAAGAAAATGCATTAAAATCGTCTGCCTAAGAAAAATTAAATTATTTTCGGAACTTTTTTGTAATTTTGGATTTATGGGTTGGATGACTTTTAGGTGGTAATAGGTGTCTTCCTCTACTCTTTTTTGGCTGTCAATTTTTTTCTACAATTATAGGTGCATTTTGTGCAAGAAAATGCATTAAAATCGTCTGCCTAAGAAAAATTAAATTATTTTCGGAACTTTTTTGTAATTTTGGATTTATGGGTTGGATGACTTTTAGGTGGTAATAGGTGTCTTCCTCTACTCTTTTTTGGCTGTCAATTTTTTTCTACAATTATAGGTGCATTTTGTGCAAGAAAATGCATTAAAATCGTCTGCCTAAGAAAAATTAAATTATTTTCGGAACTTTTTTGTAATTTTGGATTTATGGGTTGGATGACTTTTAGGTGGTAATAGGTGTCTTCCTCTACTCTTTTTTGGCTGTCAATTTTTTTCTACAATTATAGGTGCATTTTGTGCAAGAAAATGCATTAAAATCGTCTGCCTAAGAAAAATTAAATTATTTTCGGAACTTTTTTGTAATTTTGGATTTATGGGTTGGATGACTTTTAGGTGGTAATAGGTGTCTTCCTCTACTCTTTTTTGGCTGTCAATTTTTTTCTACAATTATAGGTGCATTTTGTGCAAGAAAATGCATTAAAATCGTCTGCCTAAGAAAAATTAAATTATTTTCGGAACTTTTTTGTAATTTTGGATTTATGGGTTGGATGACTTTTAGGTGGTAATAGGTGTCTTCCTCTACTCTTTTTTGGCTGTCAATTTTTTTCTACAATTATAGGTGCATTTTGTGCAAGAAAATGCAT